TATATATATATATATATATATATATATATATATATATATGAAAAATAAATATTATGTGTATTAGGTTTGTATTAGTTGCGTCTTGGTCCTTGAGTCAAGCTTGACATTAATAATAAAATTTATTTCCATATTTTTGGACTATAAGGTGCACTTAAAATCCTTTAATTTTCTCAGAAATCAACAGTGAGTCATATAATCTGGTGCACCTCATGTATTAACTCTGGTTGTGCTTACTGACCTCGAACTGATTTTATGTGGTTATTGTGAATGATTTGAACAAAGTTTGACTTATCTAACTGTTTTGTTTCACTTAATGTGCCTTATGTATGAAAACAGACCCATTCATTGATACTGCACCTTATAATCTGAAAAATGCAGTCATTTAGGATTTTCTTGTTTATTTATTGTTTGAGGTCTAAGTCAAACTGTACGAGATGCAACCAAAAGGTTGAATTGTTTGCAGTTGTCTCGTTCAGATCAGCAGCTGATCTTTTGTTGATGTGAGAATCACAGTTCGTCATCAACTAAACTGAGGCTCCACAGAAAGCTAAAGGACGTCGTCATGCTTTCAGTCAGTGAGAAACCCTCTGAGTCAGTCGGCGTGAGCAACACGTGACGCAACCGTGTTAAAATGGCTGATATCAACAGGAACATGTGCTTCTTCGTGCTTCCAATAAAGCGCAGCAAAAAGCAGAACTTCAGAAAGGATAAAAAAAATTAATTTTAATCCGGTGTGACTCCAGGACCGGGATCCATTGCCAGTGCAGAGTTGAGACCAAAACCTGCACAGACTATTTTTGTTCAGAGTGAAACCGTTTAGAGGAATTAAGGAACTTCTGTTTTATGCGCTTGAGCAACGACTCAGCGTTCTGAGTTGCATAAGAAAAGAAGCGTGCAGTTGCAAAGCAACTGTTGAGGGAAAAAGACTAAATCTGTGCTGTGAAGTTCCTTCTAAAAATGTTTTCCTCACAGATGCTGAACATGCAAATCAGCATCTCTTCTTTCTCTCTCCTCCTGAACGCAGCTGCAGAGCTTCTTTTAATCCAGCCTAATCTTAAATCATCTTGATGTGCTTGTTTCAGATGACCCTCTGGTGGGCTCTCGTCACCCTCTGCTGTGCACTGAACTGTGCGACGTCTGCGCCGTTTGTTCCGAGGCATAAATACAAAAACTCGTTCCGTCTCGCGGCCTTCACTCGAGCCCACGTGCAGCAACTCCTACAGAACTACGTGAGTACTGAAGGTTTTACTGAGTCATGTGACCTCAGTCTTAACGCTGAGGCCCCGTGGCTCAATCAGACTCGAGGGTTAAACGTGCCTTTTGTTGCTTTTTCACAACTCCATTTTTCCTTTTAATAGAAGGAGCAGCAGATGGGAAATGTGCATTTTGAGGACAGAAGTCGACGCTTGAGGGACCTGCCTTTACTGTCCACAGACTTCTACATGTGGCTTAGTTTGTCGGTATGTTTCACAACTGTTTCATAGAAAACTGTTCACTAGCTGCCATTCTGGAAACCTCAAAAGTTTTCTCAGAATCTATATATTTTTTTGTATTTTCCCCTTATACGTGAGAAAAAAGCTGATGACATCAACATCTCTTGCAGAATTTAAAATTTTATAAAGTTTAGAGTGGAATTCCCCGTTTGTGAACATCAAACGCTGATAATGGGGAAGGCTCTCATTATGGGATGGGTTCGTCTCGTGTGTTCAGGACTGGGACCGACTACTCGGCGCTTTCCGGGACATGCAGGTCTACTGGAGTATGCTGGAGAGGAGGAGAAGGCAGCTGGAGGAGGAGCAGAGGGAGCAGGTGGAGGCGCAGCCCGCCCAAACTCGTTTAATTCAGAGCATCGGACACATTCAGTGGAACCTGCGGGACCTGATCGGTCAAGTCAGCAGTCAGGTGCGTACAGCTCTGCACACAGGCCCGCGCAGACTCTACGGGGAAGTGACACCAAAACGACTTTGATTGAACTCGGCTTTGTTTTCTTCCTCTACAGATGAGAGGAATGAGGAGTTCCTGGACTCAGCCCACAGCCGCAGCGATGCACGCAAACCCACAACGGAGTGCCAGGACAGTGTGGGACAGCCGGGTGGAGGGCTACATCATCCTGAGGGACCTGGATCTTTACCTCACAAAGCTAGCAAGAGACTTCCTTCTGCTGGCTTCAAAAACACGCGCCTAAAACCAGCACAAAGACCGCACAGGAACAGACGAGGCTGAAGAAAGAAGCTCGACGTGACAGACAGCTGGATAAAAACAGCTGCGATGAGTTCAGTTCGTACGCGGGAGTCGTATGTTTGATGGTACCGAAGGGCTTTTTCGGGTATTTCCCAGAGTTTCTGTCTTATGTCTAACTGTAAGTTCGAGCTGGACTCCCAGAAGACATCCCAACATCCTGTTTCCTCCACCACATCCCTAAACTTCTGGACTTTCCAAAGAAAACATCGACTATTTATTGACATATTTATTGACATATTTATTAACGTGTTATTTATTTCAAAGACGTCTATTTAAATTATATAGGAATAAAGAGAAACTGTGTTTTATATTTGATACACGTGTGTGTGTGTGTGCCTGACAATAAAGTGATGAAGCTTTTGAAACCAGTGACAACTTCATTTTAAGATTTTGTGATACTTTTAAATAATTATTGGTTAATAATAGTTAATTAAAGGCATCTTTTAATATAATAAAGTAGATTTTTGCATTCTTTGGTGAATTCCTGTGGAATGCAAACAGCTCATCCTCCGGTCAGGATTCGTGTTGATCTGGATGCAGTTTCTTCATGTGGTGCTGATCTGAGGGGCAGTCTGCAGAGGGGAATAATATTGAACACATTCAGACACATTTTATGTTGTCCTCAAACAGTCACTGTATGTGTGTGTGTGTGTGTGTGTGGGGGGGGGGGATTCCTAGAATTGACAAGCAGCAATAGCTGTTTCTCTGAGGTCATTGCTGTTGATTCCTAAAAATAATGTGAAATTTCATTTTAGCTCTGCTTTTGTATGACAAATCACAACGTGGTGGAATCTGTTGTATTTTTAAACACTTCAGGGTAAATTTGAATAATTTTACAATTTGGTAAAAACCACATTATTGTGTGAATGTTTATGTGAATACTTCATAATGCTTCATTGTGTTCCAGTTTTCTTCCGTACGTTTGTCAGCACATTTCTCATCATATATCACAACGTTCAGCTCTTTCAGGACAATCCTGCTCTTTTGGTATTTGGTGCAACTTTAGCTTTTTGAAATATTTAGCCCTTTCTGACACTTTTTTTTCATATCAAATGAATTGAGCTCATTTTACATCCTTCACATCTTCAGATCTGTTTACAACCTTTTACTGCTCCTTTCACATTTTGTTTTGCTTCAGCTTTTTTGTGCAAATTTAAACTTTTTTTCAGCTACTTTCAGCTGTTTTTCCAGCCGTTTTGTGCTCCTTTCAGATTCTTTCTGCAAGTTTCAACTTTTTTTTTTGCTATTTCATCTACCGGTACTAATTAGCTGTTTTTATGATCATTTTAGCCTTTTCAGCTAATTCCACATTTTTTTTGCACTAATTTAAACTTTTTCAGCCTAATTCAGCAAAAATGTGCTCTCTCCACTTCCTTCTGGTAATTTCAGCTTCTTTCTGTTTTTTTTTTAGCTACTTTTCAGCCTTTTTTCTCTCTCTAATTTCAGCTGTTTTCAGATAAATTCAAGTTTTTCATGTAAATTTTAGCTACTTTCAGCCTAATTAACTTATTTTTGCTAATTTTAGCTAGTTATGCTCTTTTCAGATAATTTCATATTTTTAGCTCATTCCAGCCCTTTTACACTTCCTTCTGGTAGTTTAGGCTTCTTTTTGTCTTTTCAGCTACTTTTCAGCTATTTTTGTTGTTGTTGCTAATTTCAGCTTTTTCAGCTAATTTGCTCATTTTTTTTGCTTATTTCTGCTTACTGGCATTTAAACCTAATTCGGCAAATTAGTGTTATTTCTGCTTTCTTCTGCTAATTTAGGCTTGTCCTTCCATTTCAGCTACAGTTCACCATGTTTTTGAGTTAATTTCAGCTGCTTTTCAGTAAGTTATTCTGTTATTCACACTGCATTTTCACAGGAAATGCAATTTCTCTAGTTAATAATATGTATTCATAGCCTGCATAAAAGCCTAACACTCTAAACGTTTCCCCCCATGACTGTACCAAACCCTCCCTCCCTTCTCTCGGCATGATATCAGAACAGTCTGACTCACCACTAGCAGATGTCCTCGTTTGCCTTTGGCCACCTTCAGCTCTGAACCCCTGATGAAATCAATTATTCCTTCTTTGCTTCGGGTCATTGCAAAGCGAATGCTGCATTCCACACCACAGGGAACACATCGGGAGTGGATAAGATTATGTCGGTAAACTTTCTCACTTCCACAGACGTAGCAGACAGATGGAGCCTCACCTGCCAGGGCTGATATTGACGTAGTTGGTCTTGCTGGCCAGCATGGAGAGTTTGGTCACCAGCTCGATCACGTGGCTGCAGTACAGCACGGCGTCGCCCTGAGAGACACACAGCAGGATTTAAAGTAGCTGCACTGCTGTGCGCTTGAGAAACCACCATGACTGCGGCGTCCTGCTGTACCTTCTGCTTGCTGTCCTCACATGGCACGTGCAGAACAACCATGCCGTCGCTGAAGGAGCTCACAGAGATGCCTGAGTAAAAAAAACATCAACAACCAAACAAAAGCAGGTTGGAACTCAGTTCACTCTTACATCAGAGAGGTTTGAGCAAACATGAATCAACATGAATCAATGTTACAGTAGACCCTCGCTACTTCACGGTTGGACTTTCGCACTCGCTCTTTCGTGGTTTTTCAAAGTAAGATTGAACACAACAAACTGTACACGACACATGGCTACTAACTTTAATGTTACTCACAGGATTGGGACAGTACGGGATACTGTACAGTAAAAAGTTAACGAAAAAATAAAATACTTCCGACAGGCGCCACCATTTTGTAGTTTTCTCTCAATAGGCCTATACTGTATCCCCGCTCATAATGACCACATTTCCCAGAAGCCAACAGGACCCTGCCCAGAAGCCCCATTCTTTTTGCTGAAATACTAGAAGGAAAGTTTTGATCTGATTGGAAAAAGTTTGGTGCTTATTACAGTCACTTTGGTGCCTAGCAATGTAGAGAACTGCATGGAACACACCAGGAACTGCATGGAACACACCAGGAACCAGACCAGAACCGGACTTCCAGACCCATCGGCGAATCCGAGAGCTGGTAGCCAGTCCACGAGGACTTCTGAGCAGGGACGCATTGCCGTAGGTCCAGCTTCTCTCTGGAGCCCACCGTTACTACCCCAAGCCAGAGAGCCGACCAGAACCGGCAGGGTAAGTCAGCTGAAACAGAACCGAACCACTGCTGTTCTGCTGAGCTAGTGAGTAAAATTTAGTAGCTACATATAACTATGTTGTTAAAATGATGTAGGTTTAAGAATTTGGAACATTGTGGGGTTTGTCACTGCAGGGTAGGTCTGCAGAAACGGAACCGAGTTGGAGTGGAACTAAGGATGCACCGATCCACTTTTTTTACTTCCGATCCGATCCCGATACCTAGAACTGAGTATCGGCCGATACCGATCCAGTTCCAATATCATGCTCATCATTGATTTTATGTGAGGCTGTAATAATCTCCTCTCAAGTACAATTTGTACAAATATATGCATGCATGTCCAAAAAGGCAACTTGAGGTAAGTTTTATTAATGTTGGATAAGTTTTAAAGTTAGAATTAAATTCTGCTAACACAAAACACGTTTCTTTTTGTTCCTAGCTTTAAAGTGGATATTAAAGTGATTAATTTAAGTGATTGTTTAAAGTTGTTTTATATTTTATAAGGGGCAGATATAAGAATTTTTTCTTCTTTCTGCACTCTTTTCATTCAATGTTTTCTTTTTGATGATTTACTTTTAAAATTTTGTTTCATTTAAATGAATGAATAAATGAATTAAATTAAATAAAATGTTAAATGGCTTCAAACATCTGCTAAGTTCATGGCATAAACCAACAGACATGTTCCTGTTTTTAGTATTTTATTCTTGTTCAATCCGAAGCAAGCAGCCTGATTTGGGGCAGCCGCGCTCAGTCTGTCCCTCCTCGGAACCTCAGAGACGGGCAGACTGAGCGGGGCAGATTGGACGTGGCTGGCCGGTGTCCAGTCGCTTGTTTTGGGTTGAGCAAAGAGCAGCACCCCGCTGAAGCCACAGAGCTCGAATGTCCATCGTAAAACTAACTTTACCGTGGTTTAATGTGGCGCTATGACTCTGCAGACATTGCACATTGCTGTCTTGTTTTGTGGTGTTTAGTGTAAAATACTTCCACACAGCGGACATGTTTAGATAAAAAGTTTGTTAGCTGTTAGCCACAGTGCTGCTAACTCAGTCCTCACGTTGTAGCTGGCTGCAAACTATGAACTGGATTTCCTGAATGTGAGGTGGGTCTTATTACTCTGGGCTCATGAGACACGCCGCCGTTCAGGAAATCCATTCCATAGTTTGACGTCAACATGCAGCGCAACCACAGACATGCATCATGGATCGGAAATATTGGCACGTTGGATCGGAAAATCAGATACGTAAATTTTGCTGTTATCGGAGGCTGATACTGATATTGGATCGGATCGGTCCCATCCCTAAGTGGAACCGAGTCAACACAGAACCGAGTGGAACCGAGAGTCGCTGCTGTTCAGCCAAGCTGGTGAGTGAAATTTAGCAGCTACATATACAGTACTGTACATATGTGGTTCAAATGATGACAGTTTAAGAGTTTAGAACATTGTAATAATGTGGGAAGGGTTTATAAAGCTTTAAAATATATATACAGTAAATACTAAAATAAATGTCACGTCATTACTTCGCGGTTTTCACTCATTGCGGGGTCCGGAACGTAACCTTGTAACAAACAAGGGACTACTGTAAACCAAGCACAGGATTGAAAACTTGACAGATGACCATTCTCTCAGTAGAAATAAAGTATTTCTTTGTTTTCTACCCGTTTGTTTGGAGTTTACCTCTCAGAGTGCTGTAGTCGATCCTCTGTTTGATCTTGGTCCTGTCCACCAGCACGGCAAAGGTGTTCATGAGGAGCAGCTGACGAGGGCGAGGCTTGAAGCCCCTCCTGTCGTACTTCACCACGGTGACGCCGTACTAGAAAGAACACGGAGACACATTACCACCAGGCAGCTTTTGTTCTCCTCCAGATGTTGTCGAAGTGCTCCCAACTTAATCCCACCTGCACTTTTTCACTGCCGAGAGTCTGGAGGACTTTGAGACTGATTTGTTCCCGTTCTAGAGAAATAAATTGAAAACAAACGTCAAGTTTGTGCCGATGTTATAAGAACAGTTTTGATGGTTTAACATGAGCTTCTGTGGAAAATGTATGAACAATTACGATCATATCTGGGCAACATCCAGCACAAATATAATATTTCTGCCAGAATAACCACATAACACATGAAGAATGAACAGCACTATAAAACGGGGTTTTACATGTAGCAGTGTACAATACACTGTCATGCTGGATTACATAATATACAATTCTATTAGTCATTGAAAATACTTTTTACTACCTAATTTTAAAAAATGGCTGCTCACAAATGGGTTTTATTGTAAAATTCCAGAACCTAATTATAATTAATAATCAATAAAGAAAATGAGACCTAGAATAAACTGATTAAAGCTGCCAGAAGCAGATATGCTCAACACTCAGTAACAACAATGTGCATCTAAACTCATTTTATACCTCATTGATACAAAATAAACAATAACCTAATAATGGTGTAGTGTTGCTATAAACCTTTTGAAATCTGAGTTGTTTAAATCCACTTTGGTCTCTGCCAGCTAAAACAAGCCGTAACCCCATTAAAATGGTCAGAATTAAACTTTATTTCTTAGGTACAGCGTTTATGAGTGGATGTTTGCACATGTACCGAGCCTGGAGTCCAAAAAGAGCCTCCCAACACTCGGAGGATAGATTTCTTTCTGATCCTTGAAAAGCTCATTGGCTACGACCTTCTGCATCATCTAGAGAAAACACAAAAAAGAAGGAAATCATCTAAATAATGCAGGTTTATAGAGCAACGATGACAACGTTTGTGCAGTCGGTGCACCTGCTTCTTCCACTCAGGCTGGACCCTTCTGCAATACTTCATGACCATGTTTCGCATGTGCAGCGTCTGCAGGAGCTCCGAGGCCTGTGGACAACGCAGACTTGTCATTTGTAAGAGGGTTACAGCTTTCATCATTTTCACAAGCGTACAAACCGTACGCTGGGGGGGAAGGGATTCAAGGACAAGGACTTTTCAAAATGAAAACAACAAAGTCAGCAGTGTTTTGGATACGCCCTGTATGACTGACATGTTGCGATTCTACCACATGGTAAATACTGACACACCATCTGATGTACGGTGAGCACGGGTGGAAGCAGTGGCTCCAGCTGAGGGAGCAGCTGCTCAGCTGTGAGCCCCTTTCCGGCCCAACTCGCACATGTGACCAAACTCCTGGTTTTCAGGAGAGGGTGCGCCGCGAGAGCGCGTAGCCTGTTTGAGTGTCTTTTTTTTAAATCAGGTTTTTATTGCTTTAATTCTTAGAATTAAACAATGTTAACACTAAAAGACAAATATCTGTAGGCCCCAGATAGATTTTCCAAACTCACAAAGTTCTCTCCGAGAGAGTCAGTTTCAGGTGTTTGTAGTTTATCATAAACATCTACGTCTGCATCTGCACATTTTAAACAATTTTGAGACGTTTACAAACATAGAATGATAATTTCATCCGAGTACAATATCCATGTAAGTACATGGGTTTTGTGTCTCAGCTTTACTTCTAATAAAATAGGTTTTATGAAAGTCAACATTTTTCTGTACGTTTCTGGAAGGTGGGTAGGGGTCTTCAAAAAGACTGTTTTGTACGTTTGTTAAAATGTTGAAAACTGTGAACCACCCTCATATTCTTCTATTTTTACTTAGGAGTAAGAAATTTAGTCAGCCTTCTGAGTCGAAGGAATTTTAGCAAATACCTCAGCAACAGAGGGAGGCGGCGTCAGCCAGCTCTTGTCCAAAACGCTCCTGGGCAGGTTTTTACTCAACTTTTTGAGGAAGGAGTAGCGGACGTGATCCAGGAAGTACTCGTTTTCTGGACAGTACTCCTCATGACGGTAGATGAAACCTTTTATGAATCTGAAAAAAAAAAAAAAGATAAACTGTGTGTGAAAGGGTTTATGAACACACAAGGCAGAATGAGAAACAAGAACAAAGTGTAAAAAAGTGTCAGGCGGTACCTGCGGATCAACTCAGCAGCCTGACGGCGCCTCTTAGCCCTCCTGCGAGCTTTCATCCCTCGCCACGCTGACTGGATCACAATCACTACACACACACGCACACACACACACACACACACACACACACACACACACACACACACGTGCACACACATCCATGCAAACATTATCATCAACATTTAGGCTCAGCCCAAGAAAACAAACCAAAAGTTAGAATCACAAAATTGACCAAAACTCAAACTTTGCTTGAAATAACGCAACTATTTTTTGTTCTAACTTTAAATACATCTTTTTTCTATGCTTTCTTTCAGTAAATGAGAGGAAACCTGCGTGTCTGATGCGCCGATACTTGGCCCACTCTCTGTAGCCTCGCCATGATTTCTGCAGGACCACAGCTGGAGCGGAACAAAACAGAGACATTCATTTGGATTTACGTTACTTCATCAGTGCAATAAAAACAGTTCACTGACACTCAGCTAAACGCTCATAGAAACTGTTTAATGAAGCCATATGATGAACTTATTACAGTACACCCTGTAGTTAATTGGTGTTGATTGGAGCAAGACAATATTCACTAGTAACGATTAAAAGAATAGTGACCTCTTCCGACAGCCTGACATAACGAGCAGTTCAAGTTTATTATAACACGACTACTTACCGATTTCGGGCTTTTTTGCTTCAAGGGCATCCTCAGTCGTGAAGAGAGTTTTTGGGAAACGAATGAAGATTTTGGATCTACGAAATAAAAAATAGAGAGAAAAAATGTGACGAGCCACTTCAGGAAAACAAATTGAGCTTGATTTCTGGAGTGCACATATTTCCAATCCGAATGCATTTTAATAACAATGCTTCATCAGGTTTGTCTTTACTTTCATTTTTAAACGTCTACCTGTCTGTGCTTGGTACAGGACTTGCGCAGCTCAGGGTTTGAGGCCTCCCATGCCCAGAGTTTCACTTCCTGATATCTTTAGAGGGAGAAAGTTCAGGCCTGCAGGCTGGTATCAGCCTGAACACGGCAGTAATTTGTGCAGAGTGTAGTCTGGTGTTTTCTTGTTAACACACAGAAGAACCTCTGTTCCTTTTAGAGTTCAGGACCGTTTTTATTTCACCTCCATGTACCTTTTGTAAAAGTGCTGGCCAGTCCCTGCATGTTTACATGGAGTTTAAACCTTGGATTAAACACATGTTTACTGAAAATGCTTTACAAAAGTATCCCTAATCTCATGCAGTAACCGCCACCACTGCAGTATATTTGCTTTTATATCAATCGTGCTTTTTAGTTTTATTTATGCATGCAAAGACCTCTTTAGATTCTTAAATACTTTTATTTTTCTATATTGTTATTGGTGAAAGTTCCTGTTTTTACCTCAATATTAAAGTAAGAAAATGTCATTTTAAATTATTTATTTAATTGTAAAGTTTATTGCAAAGTAGGAAACCATCCTATATTCTGATGCACTCCGTTTAGTTTCATGTTAGCTGGTGTCAATTAATCCAATAAGCTGTTTTATTGCTGGCATCAAAACCAACAATTCATTAGCTTTTAACTTGTATCTGTTATTTTTAAAGTCTAATAAAAGTTTTCAATGATTTACTTGTCATTGCTTTGTTTTTTCACAACTAAAAAGATCAAACACAAAAAACACAAATCTCTGTTTTCTCCTAAAACTGACGAGATGTTTTAGTTACCTGCCCAGTTTAAACTCCTCCGCTTTGTAGCCGAGGTGGTTGACCAGTGTGGACACGCCGTCCTCCAGTTTTCCCGGCCAGCTGGGCCACGTCTCCGGACACAGAGGCTTGTACCTGAAGGCATCAGGGCGGAGGTAAACAGAACAAACAGCAGCTGTAGGGCAGATGAAGGAAAGCGCGCTCACCTCTGCAGGAAGGCCTCAAAGCGACGGCGATAGGCGAAGCCGGCTCTCCTCACCCTCAGGTTCTCCATCAGACCCAAGTACTTCACCTGGTGTCGCACCAGAACTTCATCAAACCGTCCTGCAGGCAGAAGAACAAAACACGCATCAAAACTCAAATTCAATAAACTTTATTGATGCTTTATTCACTATTAGAGGTTTGCTGTTTGAGTGAAAAACTGTTTCCTGATCTTGTCTGTGAGGTAATTTACTGCAGCTGCAGAACCAACACTTCCTCAGTCGTTATTTATTTTCTTTGGTCAAACATTTAATGTGACAAACGAACAAGTGGTTAGCCCGATTAAAGGGGTATTTTGATTTAGACTGTTTATTTGGGTGTCTTGAAAGTCAATTCATCTCCTAAATGTTAACACAAAAGATTGTCTCCACGTCGTTATCAGCAATACATTCTAACCTGTAGTTTTATAATTCGTTTAACTTCAAAAAGATGCTAACTAGTGATGCTCAGAAGACTAATTTTGGACACATTATGGATTTATTTTTGTTACACTTATTAATTTATTAATTTTAGCCTTGACAAAATAAAAGAGTTCTGACACCAACTACATTTTTTAAATTGGTACTTTTCCAAACATTTATTCAGTTACTTATTAAATACCACAAATTTTTGGTCCGTTTTGAAGTCTAAATACAAATATTTCATGTAAATTTATAAAAAGTTTGGACTGCTGTCAGGGTTTTATTTTATCTATGCTCTAAATCAGTGACATCAAAGTTCATGCTCAATCATCCAGGTACAAAATCCAATAATGGTCAACCAGGTCATCTGGACAGTTTCTTTTTTGCGGAAAGAAGTGCAGTGGTAAATGAGTGGTTCCCAACCCTGCTCCCTGAGGAACACCATCCTGCATGTTTCAGTTGTTTCTCTGCTGCAACACACCTGATTCAATGATTTAATTACTTCCTTAAGTTCTGCAGAAGCCTGTTAATCCCTCTGTTAGTATTTTTATCTAGACTGACCCTGGGTGTTTAATCTGCTCAGAGACAGATTATAATGAAACTATGACCCAGTTCTGACTGGTTTAAACGGGGCCAGCAACTCTAAAAAGAATCTCTCAGGGATTCAATATCCGTCAAAGAATAAAGTTTTTATTGGCTCGCTGCATCACGTAGAAAATCTTTTTCTGCACCGTATCATTTTTCCTTACACGTCAGACTAAGATCCTTGAGATCACACTAGTTCTCTGTCCGGCCCCTTCTTATCCACATGAATGGCTGTGCTCCCCCTCTGCGAAGGAGGAGTCTAAGCCCTATATATTTGTAATGCCATGTGACAGCCAGCGCTGTAACTGTATCTTTTTTCCTGCGTTGAGTTAATACAATTGGTAAAACTGAATTCACATTTTTCTTGATTTACTGTGATAGCGTGAGTTACTACTTCTGAGGGAGGTGCGAACTGGGTGCCTCCGGAGCTGGAGGTGGGCCTGGGCTCCGAGATAAGACCCGCAGGACACACACTGACCAGCAACAGCTACTCATTCATTCAAAGCAGTTGCATCAAAGCAGGGAGTCGAGTAAAACACTCAGGACGGTGTTCCTCAAGGACCAAGGTTGGGAACCACTGTTCTAAATAACACAAATAGATAAACAAATAGAAATAGCTGTGTACGGCAGAGATTACAGTATAACATTTAGAAAAATAAAACTCTTCCCCACAACGTTTTCTTTACGATAAACTTACTAATAAAAATCATCATTTTAACCACAGCTACTTCAATAAAACTGTTGTGGGAAGTTATGCTCAAATTTAGAGCAGAGTTGAAATCATTGTGTGTGTTACTGTTAGCCTGAACCTTTAACTGACTCGGGGCATTCAGCGTGTTGTTTTTGTTTTCCAGCTTCTTTCTCAGGGGTCACCACAGGGATCAAACTCTCAAATGCCCTTCCTGATGCAACCACAGTTCGCCGGGCCACCGCAGCTCACGTGTGTGGAGCAGAGGGCTGACGTCTAGGGCGCCAAGGGGATATTTTGTTGGATTGGTCAGGGGATTCGAACCGGCGACCTCTCAATCACAGGCTCATCTTTTCTTGCATTTTTTAAAACTCTTGGGTTAAGTTTTCACAGAAACCTGCTATCCAAGTTGCTGCTATTACTCAAAGTTTCCATCTCTTTAAAAAAACGTGAAAAGTTTCCTTTGTTTGAGAAAGTCATCTAACAAAATTCAGACTTTTCTCGTTTAGAAAATAGATGAGTGTTTATTTTTTCTTTTCATCTGCTCTCTCCTCAGGGGTTGCCACAGTCTCATGAAAGACTTGGCAACCGCTTTCCACCCGATTCTCTTCCTGACGCAACCTGGGCTCAAACCGGCAGCCCCAGGATTACAAGACTGTTGCACTTAACCACTGAGCTACCACAGCACATGGGAGGTGTTTAAAATCTGGAAACACCAATATTTTTCATACCCTGATTTCTTTAATCAGTACTTATCCAGACCCTGAGAACACACAAACTCCAGACTTTTCCAGACTGCAGAGGAACCCAGTTACAAACCCAGTTCTGTTTCTTAACACATCATTGCAGTACCAAGCCCTGTCATTTCAACACAAGAACTGAGCCTCAGCGCCTACATGAGGGAGGAACTCTCACTTCAGTGCTCATGTCTGCAGCACAACGCTCCCCATGAAGGAGCCAGCAGAGAACGTGCTGAACGAGACATTAGGACTGAGGTGGGAGGTTCAAATATAAAATGTACCTGGCTGTTTGGCGTCGTTGGGTTTGATACAGCGTACGTAGGACGGTTCTTTGGACATGAGGATCTCCTTTAGTTTCATCAGGCTGTTCTTGAACTGAGACGCAGCCTAAAGGATGAACACAACATGACTCTGCAGGAACGTTGAAGTGCAAGCAGCAGGAACAGCTGATTCAGTATGAGCCGAAAGTGATTTCTACTAAAATGTTGAGGCAGCGAGAGAATAGTTCCCACCATCTCTGGACGTTTCTGGTCGATTACTTCCTCTCTGCGGAAGCAGTAACTCAGGATCTGGTTGTCCGACTGGCACATGACCTGAATGCAAACCAAACCACAAAACCTCGAGTGAACAAGGGCACGCCCAACCTCAGGAGGCATTTTAAAAGTAGCTATAAAGTTAATTTTCTTTCATGAATCTGACCTCCTTCAGGTTCCTGTTCAGTAAATCATTGTTCTTGTCCAGGAAACCTGAATGAGAGACAAAAGGTTGTCTTCAAACAAGTTGTAACGTCTGGTTAATATAATCAGAACTGTTGAAATGACTGATGCAGAAGATGGCAGCTTACCGTTAACGTTGTAGTTGACCTCTCCTGCATAATGCAGCAGCCTGAACTCCTCCCTGCTCATTATTCTGCGGGTTTTTCCGTTTGCTAACTTGTGCCTGAAACACAAACATATACTGGATCAGACGTGCTTTAAAAACATAGACTGGAAATAAAACTTCAGATGAGTCCAGCTAGGAATAATTTCATGAATAAAGCAACACAATGATTCCCAGTAAAATAAACACAGCAAAAATAAACAAATAAAATAAAATAAATTGGATGACAAGCATAAAGGAAGAAATGTGAGGTCATAAAGTTATATTTCTGAGCATAATAAAAACAAGAGTACTGTATACACCCGTTGACAGATGATAATACAGCAATCTATAGCAATAGTTCGGACAAGCAAACTTGACCTTGATTTGTGACCTTGGGTTTGGAGCAGGGGTGATGACAATTATACACAGCACTCCATCTAGTGCAACATTCATGAAGTGTTGTTAAATTATTTTGAGCAGATCAGAAGTTTTGGGCGGGATAAGAGAAAATTGATCGTCAAACGGAGACAATACCGTAATAGGCGCTCCTTTCGATAGGCGTATAATAATCTGGTCTTTACCAGCCTTTAAAATGATTAAAATCTAACCACAGGCGAACAAAAACGCACAACAGATTCCTCCAGTTTGTTCTTTATTAAAGCAAGATGAAAGCAAAATGGAAAAGCTGAGTGTTCTCATGGTTCAGCAGCTTGTTGAACCACCTGTAGTAAAATAACACGACATACTGTAGTTGTTTTCTGAATCAGTGAATCAAATGGTTTTGACCCATTTCTCTTAACGTTTCAGTTCATCGACGTTTGCAGACTTTATTGTTCTTCAAGCATTTCAGTCAGGCTCAGGTCTGGACTTTGACCGGATCACTGCAACACGATTATTTTATTTTTCAGCCATTCTGCTGCAGATGTGCTGCTGTGTTTGGGATCAAAGTCCTGTTTCATGACCCAGATTGATCCAAGTTTCAGTTGTCAGACAAACTTTAGCCTACATAGGAGTTCATGGTTGACACAATGACTGCAATGTGTCCAGGTCCTGTGGCTGCAAAACAAGCCCAAACCATCACCACTCTGCCACCGTGCTTGACAGTCACTACGAGACATTTGTGCTGATTTGCTGATTGATTTTTACCAAACATTACTCTGTGGATTATCAGAGTCAGAGGCTCTTTATTTGTCATACACACCACATGTTGTACATGTGGTGGAATTAAATTGTGTACACAGGGTCCCAGTTACATCCAAGAAAAGTATAAAATGTAAAAGAAAAACAGTAATAAGGTCTAAGATATGAACTAAGAAAAATGTTAACAAAAAATACACTAAGCACTAGTAGTACAAAAACAATACGCCAAACAGCAGCACGAACATGAGTCTGTGTGAGCAGATGAGCACGAATGAACACATCAGCATGAAATAAATCAACAGCAACGTGTGATTTTTATTTTCACAGTGATTATTCTAGTTAGAGATTCATGAGTCTAACAGCCTCAGGGTAGAAGCTGTTCCTCAGTCTAGTGGTTCTACACTTAATGCTCCTTAACCTCCTTCCTGAGAGGAGTGGGGCAAAAAGTGTGTGTGCTGGGCGAGTGGGATCCTTCATGATGCAGGTGGTCCTCTTCCTGCATCTGGAGTAGGGCATTAACAGAGTACTCGAGTAATCTACACATCGATTGCTAGGACCTCTATCGAGGTTAAAAATTTAACATCGAGTAACCGTAGTGACGTCATGTTATGTGACCACCGTATGACCGTAGGGGGCGGTGTTGCACTGTTGCAGGTCACAAAGTATGGTGTCACACCGGGTCCAATCCACCGAACCAGTTTCGGTTAAGTTTCGTTTTTGACGTGCTGCACGTTTCTTCACATTTGCAGTTTAATAATAATAACTAATAGTTTAGTTTTTCCTGTGACTTATTTGCAGTATGATAAATGGTAGGAGCATAATATACGCTCCCAATGTTTTGTTGGTCTTTTTTTTTTTGTAAATAATTACCTTTTTTTGCGGTTTTATTTATTTATTTATGTATCTTGAGATCTATGACGTCATCATATACTCAAGTTCTACTCGGGTTTTATTATGTTAATGTCGAGTTTAAAAGTTATATACTCGTTCAACCCCTAATCTGGAGGTGTAAATGTTTGTGATGGTGGGGAGACTGACTCCAACAGACTTCTGTGCAGCCTTCACTACTCTCTGCAAAGCTTTTCTTTCTGCAGCTGTGCAGCCTCCATGCCACATGTTGATGCTGGAGCACAGGATGCTCTCCACTGCACACCTGTAGAAGGAGGTGAGGACTGAGCTCCTCAGTCCAGCTCGTCTCAGCCGTCTGAGGAAGTAGAGTCTCTGATGAGCTTTCTTGATCAGGCTGGTGGTGGTGTTGCCCCAGCTGAGGTTGTCATTTAGGTGCACACCCAAGTACTTGTAACTGGAGACCACTTCCACTGCAGATCCTCTTATGTTCAGGGGGGGGGGGGGGGGGGGAGGTAGGTGTGTTTATTCCTTCTGAAGTCCACAATCATCTCCTTCATCTTCTTCACATTGATGTGAAGGTTATTCTCTTTGCACCAGCTCTCCAGGTGTTCCACCTCTTGCTTGTAGCTGGACTCATCGTTATTTGTGATGCATCCCACCACCGCTGTATCAGCTGCAAACTTTACAATATGACAGCCTGAATGGGTAGCTGCACAATCATATGTGAGCAGAATAAACAGGAGAGGGCTCAGCACACTTTCCTGAGGGGAGCCAGTGCTGACGGTTATGGTGGAGGAGGAGAAGTTGTTGATCCTCACTGACTGTGGTCTGTTTGTTAAGAAGTCAAGGACCCAAGTCCTAGTGTGACTAGTTTGTCCATCAGGGTTTGTGGGATCATGGTACTGAAGGAGGATGTGAAGTCCACAAAGAGCATACGGATGTAGGAGTCCTTCTGCTCCATGTGGGTGAGAGCAGTGTGGACCACAGAGGAGATGGTGTCTTCTTTTGATTGATTCTCACGGTACGCATACTGATGAGGGTCCTCATTGATGTTGATGGTTGTTTTGATGTGAGTCATGACCAGTTTTTCAAAGCATTTAGGGACTATCGGGGTGAGGGCCACTGGCCGGTAGTCATTCAGACCAGTCACTGTAGAGCTCTTTGGGACTGGGATGATGGGGGCCGAGATGGTGTAGAGGCAGGACAGCCGGCTTGGGACCCGAAAGTCCCAGGTTCGATCCCCAGTCACTGCACATCACGTGGCGTCTCTGGGCAGCATGCCTCACCCCCAAAATGTCCCCCGGGCGCTTTCAATAGCTGCCCACTGCACCACCTGGTGGTGGATGGGTTAAATGCAGAGACTAATTTCGCCATTGTATGGAAACATACAGTGCTGACATTGTGATGACATTATTATTATTATTATTATGATGGTGGCGGTCTTCAGGCAGGTGGGAACTGTTGCCAGGGTGAGGGAGGAGTTAAAGTTATCAGCCAGCACCTCGCAGAGCTGATCGGCACAGTCTTTCAGCACCTTCCCAGGGATGTTGTCTGGGCCAGTTGCCTTGTGAGGATTAATCCTCCTGAAAGTATTCCTTACTTCTGGTGAGGTCACGCTGAGATGCTCTTCATCCGGTGGTGAGGTGAGTCTGGTGCTGGGTGGTCTGTTCGGGTCTTCAAAGCATGCGTAGAACTTGTTGAGGGCATCAGGCAGTGATGGGTCTCTAGGGCATTGTGCACCTCTGCCCTTATAATCTTTTATACACGTAATGCCCCTCCACATGCTCCATTGGTCTTGTGAGGTGAACTGACCCCGGATCTTCTGTGCATATGATTTTGGCCCTACCAGCAACCAGCTCTTTCCTTGTCCTTCTCAGCTCCTGTGAGTTTCTAAACCTGAAGGCAGTGTTCCTGGCTTCTAGCAGGGTGCAAACCTTTGCATTCAGCCAAGGTTTCCTGTTCGGGTAGCTCTTAACATAGCTGATGGTGGTGATGTCATCAGCACATTTGCTAATGTACCCCAGGACTGAGGATGTGTATTCCTCCAGGTCTAGCTCTCCATCATTTTCAGCAGATTCTCTGAAGACCTGCCTGTCTGTGCATGCATGCATATGGGTAAACATCTCTGCTCTGGTCTCATCAGTCCAAAGAACATGGCTTCAGAAGGCTTGGTGTTCATTCACACTAAAAGTTATAAATTCAAGTTGTGCTTCCATGTTCCTCTTGGAGAGAAGACACTTTCTCCTGGCAACCCTTTCAAACGTGTCATAAATGTTCAGTCTTTCTTTCTAGTTGTCCTGTCGTGAACCAGAACCTTTAACCTGCTAAGTGAGGCCTGTAGTGTTGTGGGTTTTTATAGTTTCTATTTAGGTTCTATTTTATTTTATTTTTATAAACAACAACATGGTTGAATCTGTGGTATGTTTTTGTACATTTTAATAATTTTAGAACCTAGTAAGGACCAAATCAGTTCTTAATGAACCTGGAAACCAGGTCTTGAAAGATGGTGGACTTTATTTTCCCCCCTGACTATAGACAGTAAACATGTTAAATGATTTTCAAATGTTTCTAAATGAAAACTGAATAAGAATTGAGCCTTGGAGTACTCCGTGTGTAATGCCTTCTTTCAATTCAATTCAATTCAGTTTATTTATATAGCGCCAAATCACAACAAAGTTGTCTCAGGGCACTTTACAGAAACATTCACATACATAAAAGCCAATTAGTAAAGTTTTCTATCTAAGGAATTAGTTAGTAATTTGTTAGAATAACAAGACGTACACAAGTGGCCCCCATCACTGAGGGATTGGGTTAGTGTAGTTCGTAGTTTTCGAGAGGAGTGTTTTCTGGATAGGTATTAAACAGGGAACGTAAGTAAACCTTAATGTTTTTTTGCTATTGTTTAATTTTGCTTGTCCGAGGCAGTGACAGATCCTGGCACGTGAACAGAGCAATTTTATCCACCAGGTGCAGTGGTGGAGCCAGGGGGTGGCCGATGGTGGCCTTGGCTATCATAAATTAATCTTCAGCCACTCCATCATTTGAGGAAACTACAGTATACTTTTAAGCAATGTAAAAACTAAAAATAATAACATATTGTAATTTCCAGACTATTGAGCACACCCGAATATAAGCTGCGCCCACTAAATTAAAAAATGTAAAAAAATTAGTACATATATAGGCCTCACTTGTCTATAAGCTGCGGGCGTCCATGTTGTAACATGAGATATTTATACAGAAATATTTTTAAAAAACTTTTAATTAAATACCTACTAGTAACATACACAAATACGTCCAGTAAATTTTTTTTTCTGAACAATGCCTGTAACACGGCTGGTAAAAAACAAACAAACAAAATAAAAAAATAATTTTGCTGCAGCATTGAATAAGCTGCAAAGTGTGTGAAAAAAGTAGCGGCTTATAGTCTGGAAATTATGGAAATTATTCAAGTTCAAGAATCTTTATTCTCCCCAAGGGGCACTTTGTTTCACAGTCCCTAGGCACAGAAAGCATCCATACTAGACAAGACATTGAGTCAATTATGGTAGTTCCCTCAAATAATAGGGGTGGCCGGTTTACATGGCATACCTATGGTGGTGGCCATCTTGGATGTAGCAACCCAACTTTCAAAAGGAAACTTTCTTACGTCTAAATGAAGCCACACACCAAATATGAAACGGGAATCTCACTTATTTTTTGAGTTATCATGCTCACAACATGAATGAATGGACGAACAGATGGATAGACGGACAGAATTTCCCATTCCCCCTCTTCGCTCTGCAATGGGGAGAGAAGAGGAAATACCATACCATACAATACCAAATTTATTCTTACGTGATAAAATGGGGATGACCGCCCACTGTGTCTTCCAATTTCTCCAAAAATGAGGTGTCGCAAGTCTCTCCGGGTCTCAGCCCCTCCTCGTTCTGAAAAACATACAGTACTTAAACCGTAAGAGATAAAAAAAAAAGATCATCATGACACACTGCCAGATGTTACACCCACCAGAATGGCGATGATGCCTTTGTGCTTCTCCTCTATCAAGTCACAAATGATCTTGTTGTCAAAGTATTGCACTGGCTCCCACTACATTTTAAGGACAGCAATATGTGTTGCCATGGAGATACAAACATTATCAAACTTGACAAAGTCATTTGTTTTGATTCCTAAACTAAAATAATTAAATTAAAAAATAAAAAAGCTCACAGCAATCCCCTCTGTCTCATACTCCTCCTGCTCAGATCGGAGCGTGAGCTCAATGAACAGCTGCTGGAGCTTCTCGTTGCAGTAATTGATGCAGAACTGCTCAAAACTGGAGGCAGAAATACAAGAAGTTAGAAGAATAGGATGAAGGAGAAAGGGGAGATGAATACAAGTCATACCTGTTGTGCTGCAGGACCTCAAACCCGTAGATGTCTAGAAGTCCAATGACGGATGAGCCTTTGCTGCTGTGATAGATTTCATCCTGCAAATACAAAGCACACTTTAGTGCTATAAGCACTACACCAATGTCTCCCATCGCTGAGGGATTTCAGTAGTGAATGTTTGTAGCTTTTGAGGTGAGTGTTTTTCTGGATTGAACTCAATTTTCAATAAAGACCTTTCTTATGCCTTGATGTAGATACACCAAAATGGAAGTCAGCATGTTGCTTACGTTTCAAGTTATCCAGCTGAGAAAGTTTACATAAGGTATACATAAGGTAATCTTCAGTTTTTACGTGGCAACCCAATTTTGGAAAGGTATTGTTCTTGTGCCTACATGTAGCCACACACCAGAAGTCAGTACCTCACTTATTATTCAAGTTAATATGCCCACAATATGTATTTATGGACGGAACGTATTTCCAATTCTCCCTTTTTGCTTCATGACGTGGTACAGAAATACAGCCGGCACTCCAAAACATACTGTTATTGAATCGTTGTTCGAGCTCCTTTTACTGTACCTTTACAGCAAGTGACTGATTGATCTTCTCCACCAACCAGTTGAAGGTCCGACCATACACAGCCTTGGCTAAAGCATCCCGAGCCGACACTGCCTGCTCAAAAGTTAGCGGGCTGATCATCTGCAATCCACAAAAACAGAAAGAGACATACAGGGAAATCAATCAGCAAGGCACCAATGAGGTAAAAACAGGAGGGGTCGGGGACTGAGGTACCTCATCTCCTTTAGCTGTCAGTTTCTTATGAGTGAGTGCCTCCTTCAGCGCTGAGCCATCCACGCTCAGCAGCTGCAAAACAACAACACGTGTGCTCTCAGCGCCGTGGGTTTTGTGCATATTTGAGCTTTCAGTAAGACCGGTGGGACGGCTCTGACCTTAGCAAGGCAGGATAGCTGGGTCTCAGTGGTGATGTAAGTTTCTCCTTCTTCCCCTTCCCCAAAGAGAGTGTTACCCAGATGGAGAACACTGGCAATGATGTTCAGCAACATCTGAAGTCAGACACAAGAACAAAAAAACAGCTGAAAGTAACCCTGAGGATAAACATTTTAAAATGGATGCAAAATAACTGAAATTCTAAGAAAACTAGAGAATCCTAAGAGCTAAATGACTGCTGAAAAGTGTTAAAGCAGCTAAATGGATTTTTTTTTAAGTTAAAATAATCAGAATGAAAGGTATAATTAGCTAAACCAAAACTTAAATGAGCAGAACTGTAGCTAAAAACTGCAACCAGCAGAACAGCTGCATTATAATAAAATTAGCAAAACAGGAGCAAAACCCTCACATGAGCAGAACAGTAGCTAAAATCTACAACCAGCAAAACAGCTGCACTATACTAAAATTAGCTAAACAGCAGCTAAGAGCTAAAATTAGCAGAACAATAACAACATCCTAAAATAACCTGAACATTAGCTAAAAGCTACAACCAGCAAAACAGCAGATAAAAATAAAAAAATTAGAAGAACAGAAGCATAAAACTAAACTGAGCAAAACAGTAGCTATAAACTAAAATTAGCGAAACAGAAGGTAAAATTAGCGGAACAGTCCAAAAAAAGCTAAAATTAGCAGAACAGTTGCTAAAAGCTGCAACCAGCAAAACAGCATGAGCAAATATTAGCAAAACAGTTGCTAAAAGCTGCAACCAGCAAAACAGCATGAGCAAATATTAGCAAAACAGTTGCAAAAAGGTAAAATTAGTAGAACAAAAGTAAAAAGTTGAAATGATCAAATTACCAGCTAAAAACAAACAAAAAATAATGAAACAAGTATCCTAAAATGCATTTTAGATGGAACTGTCTTTTCAAAAATTTGATGACTTCCACATTTACTGGTACTTCAAAGGTCATTTTTAAAAACTGTGAAAAATATAAAGACGAAAAACTAATGTCAGAGCTGTAATGTTCTGAACATGCCGAATAATTTGACACTTAAATGGTACAAATACCTGAAAACAACAAAACAAACAAACAAACAAACAAAAAAAATTCAGAGGAAACTGTAAACAGGAAATAACCATGAGACTCTTTACCTGAACTTCTTCTGCGCTGAAGCCGATCACACCCAGCGCCTTCGTCACAACTTTCCAGTTATTCTTGTCACTTATGGAGCTGACTCTGGGACAGTTACCCTGCAGAAAAAATAAAAACGGTTTGTCCTCCATTGAAAACCCAGTAATCCGTCAATGTGCCCCCCACCCTCAGTACTTTGACCAGGTAGCGGTAGTTCTGAGGGTTTCTCTCCAGGTTCAGCGTGTTGAGCAGGTCGGCGTCACCTCCATCGAGGAGCTGATAGAAGATGTGGAAGTTTCTTTCTCCGTGGTTCTGGTGCACGACTCGGGACTTCTCCAGCAGGTAGTTCAGGATGTGGCCTCCTATTGGTGCTCCCTTAAAGAGGTTAAAACCATGGCTTCGGCATTCGTTTCTGTGTCTGAGGAGCAGCTTTCACGTCGACGAATGATAAAATATTCACCTTAAAGTCAAACTGGATGTCCATGTACTTTCCAAAGCGACTGGAGTTGTCGTTCCTCAGCGTTTTGGCGTTACCGAACGCCTGTACACAAAGATATAACATCCAGTTGAGCTCTAAGCCTTCCTACGTAGCTCAGATCAGTCAGGTGGTGATGTGTTCATACCTCCAGGACCGGGTTGGACTGCAGGAGGCGATCACCGAGGGTCTCCACGTGGCTGTTGGTGGGGCAGGTGACAGCGTAGTACAGGAGGATCTTCTTGGAGGCCTCGGTTTTACCTGCTCCACTCTCACCAGATATAAGGATACACTGGTCCTTCCTCTCTGTCTTCATGGCCCGGTATGTGTTGTCTGAGATGGCGTAGCTGGAGAAAAAGGCAAAAAAATAAAATAAATAATAATAATAATAATAATAATTAGTGACAAAATGTACAGATGAGGAAAAAAAACCACCAGTGACTGTAAAGAAACTTTTAGTCAAGTCAAGTCAAGGTTCTTTATTCTCATCATATGTGGTACTTGTGGTGGAACGGAATTGTGTACACAGGGTCTCAATTAAATCCAACAAAAGTATAAATTGTAAAAGAAAAACAGTAATATAAGATCTAATATATGAACTAAGAAAAACGCTAAAACTAAGAATACACTAAGTAGTAGTAACAATACGCCGAACAACAGCAGCATGTGACAAATAAGTAAATAAATAATAATAATTAAGTGACAAATATGACTTTCTGTAAGGACAGTATTATGGTCAAAAGGAGTTCAACTAATGAAAAATAAATATAGCTAGAGATATAATGCTGAGCGTTGAACGACACAGCTGAAATTTGATGAAAAAGCTGAAGCAGAAGTTTTAAACTTAAAACAAGAACAGAAGCTAAAAAGAGCAAAATGGAAGAAAAATTGAGCAAAACAGAAGAACAAAAGGAGCAAAAGGAAACAAAATAGAAACTGAAAAGAGCACTTCAGAAGCTTCAGAAGAAGAACTTCAGAAGAAGAACAGAAGCAAAAGGAGCAGACAACAGGCTAAAAAATAGCATGACAGATTCAAATAAGCAAAACATGAGCTAAACAGAGGACAGATGGTAAAAGGGGCAAAACAGAAAATTTTTTAGCAAAACAGAATTTAAAGAGGAACGAAAGACGAAAACGGAAACAAAGCAAACTAAAAACAGCAGAACAAAAGCTGAAAGAAGCAGAACAGAAGCAAAAAGAAAAAAACAGAAGCTAAAAGAAGCATAAAAGAGGCTAAAAATAGCCTAACAGAAACTTAAATACCGTATTTTCCACCGTATACGTTGCACTGTCACACAAGTCGCATCAGTCCAAATATGTCTAATAAAGTGGACAAATGCATAAATAAGTTGATTAGCCATATCCGTCGAATCTATTATGCGTCACCACTGACAACCCAGAAATGTGGGCCAGTGTTGTGCCAAAAATAGATTGGCTGCCAAATGGCAGCTACGGGAGCGTGCACGGGAGGACTTTAACAAGAATTTACCAAGATAACCACCTACAAATAATTTGTTTGCTTGACTTTATAGTAAAGGTGTGTCTCAGTTGAACTTTTACTTAATAAATGCACTATGACAGTCGAATCAGCTTCCTTTTGCCAGGGCGGAGCAGCGAAATGAAGCTGATTTGACAGTTGCTCCAGGCGAGCTGGACGAAGGTGGCAGTCTATGGCAAGCTGACTGTGTCATTAATAGCCACTTTTACCTATTACATGACACAACAGCATGCCATACTACTCTGCTGCTATCTAGCGGCTGAAAATGGTAGTGTTCAATATTTTAAGTCGGAATGAATGAAAAGAGTCATATCTCAGCCAAAAATTGGTTGATAAACATGAGAAAAAAATCCATAAATTTGTGGCTTCGCAGGGGGTGTAAATTATGCAACAAAACGTGGCTTATAGAGCGAAAAATATGGTAAGCAAAACATGAGCTAAACAGAGGACAGAAGGTAAAAGGGGCAGAAAAGAAGCTAAAATAGTAAAGCAGAATCTAATAGGTGCAAGCGGAAGCTAAAAGAAAGAATGAGCCCAACAGTAGCTAAAAGCTAACTTTTGCTAAACTGTAGCTAAACGCTGAAATCAGCAGAACAGTGGCTAAAAGCTAAGTTAGAAAAACAAATTGTCTAGAAATCCAGAATCTACACACCTCCTGTACACTGAGGTGGGCCAGAAGACCCATCGACCCCTCCCACCCAGAAATAAACCTCTAGAAACATCCACCTCTAAACTGAGGCTGTTATCCCCCAGAACCACCTCGCATCACAAAAATAGAGAGACTGAGCTGAATACAGCACCTCAGACTGAGGAAGTCTCTCGGATGAGAGACGAAACATCTATATTTTTTTGCTTTGTTTTGTTTTTTGTTTTTTTGAATGTCCAGAGGACCAGATTGAACTTTTTTGGATTTTTCTACCTGGATTATTGAGCATGCATCAGGAGATCACAAAAATAGTTTTTTCGTCAGTCTTCTGAAGGGCACGCTCTGTTCTCATCAAACCAACACAACCACACAAAAAAGAAAAACCTGCAATCAGACTTTCAAATGTCTTTTTTCACATCATTTACAATTTTACTTTGAAATTTCCTACATCTGCACATTTCATACTTTAAACATTTTTATTTTACTCTTACACTTCTTCATGCTTTGCAGTTTGTACATATTTTATGCATATTTGTGTATTTCTAACTAGTGGTACGTGTGTGTAACAGTTGTTTTTGTGGGTTTATTTTGTTGTGAGCCTCCTGCACAAACTCACCAGAACAAATTCTTTGTGTGGGAATAAACCTGATTCTGGTTCTGGAGGCAGGGAGCGTTAGCACTCCTTCAAAGAGCACTACTGTTTACACTTTTTATGCTTCGAAGCAAAGTAACATTAGGTTTTAAACTGCGATAGACCAAAAATAGATTATTTATTTTTAAATATGGTTTCTGTTCATTTTCCTTAAAAAAAAAAATTGTTGGCAAAATTTGTAACCAAATGCTAACTAGCACGTGTGCTTGTTTACCTACAGAAGAGCCATTTGGATCTGAGAAGTAAGACATTTTGAAGTATTTGTAAGTATTTGAATTGTTGAGTAAAGTATGCAGATAAAATGATTTGTTTACACTGAGTGCGTACCCGCGTTTCAGAACTGCACACCAATACAGCTAGAAAACTGCTGGATTTATAACTTGCAATGAGTATTATCTTCACGCAGCGTCCCAAATCTAAAACACGACAGACTTTTATGATTAGTGTAAACTTTGATTTAAACATAATGTGAAAATGGACTGGTCTCCTAACAGATATTTTTAACTTATTTTAACTGTGTTTTGGTCATACTTGCATGTTTCAGATCATCAAACAAATGTTAAGATCAGACAAAAGTAATCTGAGTAAAATATAAAATGCAGTTTTTAAACAACAGTTTCATTTATTAAGGGAAAAAGCTGTCCAATCCAAACAGGCTCTTTATGAAAATGAAGCTTTTCCCCCTCTATAATATAATATATATAATATATAATAACTCTTAAATGCTTACTAACTTAATAAATAACTTAAATGTTATTTATGTATTAACCTTTATTTAACCAGGCAAATCCCATTGAGATCACAGATCTCTTTTGCAAGGGAGGCCTTGACCTGAAGGCAGCCTAACATGCATGTTTTTGGTCTGTGGGAGGAAACTGGAGTACTCAGAGAAAACCCGCGCATGCACGAGAAGAACATGCAAACTCCACACAGAAAGACCCCAGGTCCAAATGGGGATTGAACCCAAGTGCCATAAATGATTACCGGTATCTAAAAGTCTACTTTTTGGTAGAGGTCAGGAAAAGTTTCTGATACTTGGCACGTTTAAATGGAAAAAAATATATACAGGATTAAATATAGCCAAAGGTTTGTTTTGGATTTAATGTTGCTCATTTTCAGAAAATTTTATTTAATCTGGTTTGCTGTTTAACCAATAAATAAATAAATAAATAAATACAAAATACCAAAAAAAGTATCACTAACAATTTGGCTGAAGGCCTGCATCAACATCTTAAACCAGGGCCACGCAAAATCACTCCAAGGGCCTCAAATGGCCCCCGGGCCACACTTTGGACAGAGCTGTTATAAAAGCAAAATGATAAGTGAAGGGGGTGTGTGTGTGTGTGTGTGTGTGTGTGTGTGTGTGTGTGTGTGTGTGTGTGTGTGTGTGTGTGTGTGAGAGAGAGAGAGAGAGATCCCATGTTGACTCACATGTGAGGCGATATTTCGTAGAAGCTGACCCCTCTGTACCGCTCCATCTGCTGCTTGGAGTAAATCTCTAGCTCTTTGTACGGGTTCACCGACACCAGAACCGAGCCGATGTACGTCTGCAGCAGAACATCAGAGCAGACACGCGGTCAGAACTGCACCTCGGAACACAGACTGCTGTCAAACACACGGCGGGCGGCTCGGCTTTATTTACATAGACGAGGTTCTCTCTGAAGCGTCGCCTCAGGTTCTCGATGAAAGCTGCTTCACTGTTGTAGTTCTCCAGCAGGACAAAGTCCTGCACCCCGACTCTGTCGCGGGCGGTCAGAGCGCTCTCCATCACCAAGCGCACACGACCCTCAACATCCACCTCCTGCAAGGAAAGGAGAAGCAGGATTTCCATTACTGAACGCTGTAAATAGGAATCAGTGTGAAAATTGTTCTGTATTTATAAAATGATGCACTTTTAAAAACTAAAGGGCAACACTGACTTTTATTTTCTTCATCGTCTGCTGCCAGAGGGTAATAATGTTTAGTCCATGTCTGTCTGTTAGCAAAATATCTTATGAAACACAGAATAGATTCAAATAAGAATTTTAAGGAACTAATCATTAGATATACACAAGCAAGTGATTTATTTGTAGAGTAGACCCCATTCAAGATAGCCGCCACAGCTAATCATAATCCATGCTAATTGAGCATCCATTCATCCATTATCTTTCACCCGCTTCTTCCATTTTGGGTCAAGGGGGTCGCCGGTGCCCATGTCCAGCAATCACTGTGCGAGGGGCGGGATACACCCTGGACAGGTCACAAGTCCATCACAGGGCTGCTCCGAGCATGCGATTGCAAATAGTTTTTTAAAGTTTGACCAAAATGCCTACAACTCCATCTCTTTCTGAACATATAATGATCAGAGTCATCAGAATGGGCGACATGCATTCCTTTAAATAATAACTGATGTGTTCATCACATGTAGTAACGTCACATCGGCAGCAGAGGGCAAAAAGGGCCTCATTTCATCAACATTCACCCAACTGACATCTGGTGCTCAGGGTTAGAAAACTTACCAAATGACATTTTACACAGTAACTCTAATTTATGCAGAGACAAGAGGTATTTCAAGAAGACTTTAAAAACAGGCTGCAGAAACACGGAGTAGGTACAGACCCACCTCGCCAAGATTAAACAACAGAGACGTTCAAGGAAGCAGAAGACAAACAGAATAAACTGTTTATGTGATGGTGATCGTTCATGTACAGTACAAACACTTTGGTATCTCCAGACAAGAGTACTATGAAAATATGTGTACATATCAACCACACCATGACAGTAAACAGGACAAGATAGCACACACACAGACACACACATACAAAGAGATTAAACCCCAGCACTCACACTTACTGATGAAAATTATCCAGACTCGGTCCACCACACGTCGACCAAACCAAGAGGACTCCACGTCCAGAATCAAAGGCTCAGTCAGACCCTCTGATTCATATCTAATGAAAAAACTGGAACAAAGGGGCCAGCCGTCCACGGGGCTTCTGTTTTCCTTGAATGTAAGAGTCTCTCAGGGGGCTCATTAGGCTGCCTAAAGCTGCTAAAAGGTCATTATCTCTGAAGTTTCTATGTGGGAAAAAAAACAGGAGGACAACAGTGGAAAGGAGCCAAGAGGAGAGGAAAGTCGGCAAACACTTCCACCACAGACCCCCCCGCCCCCTTTCACCTCCACAGCATTGTTCTCCACTCACAGGTGGGCTTCCTACAGATAGTAAATACAGCTCAGCGTCCGAGTTTTCCAGAGGATACATGCAAGGAATGTTCAAGTCGCAGGGTGGGTCTTCAAGGCGGTGACACCCATGTGAGGAAAAATATTCTTACTCTGCTGTTAGTGCGGTGGGTGAGGCCGATCTCAGCTTTTCTAATTATCTCTGACGGTTTGTCATCCTAAAGGACTTAAAGACTGAGCATTTATTAGAGAAATGCATATCACCTGCTGCTTTTAATGGCAGACTTTTAGACCAAGGTCATAATACGTTGACACATTAAATGCCTGTCAACAAACTGTTCAGCAATATATCAATCAATAGCAATGATCTGGGCAAGCAAAGAACTTATGTAACATTTGACCTTGATTTGTGACCTTGACCATGAAGCTAGGGCGAAAAAAATGTGTATACAACACTCTGCCTAGTGATGATACATGTGTATAAAGTTTCATTAAATTATCTTGAGCAGATTAGCACAAGAATGTTTAAAGCTGGTGTTTGGTTCAATAAGTCCAGAGAACAACGAGCACCGTGACGAAGCATCACATTGTTTGTGTTCTCCATCGGCGAAGTCGGGAATTACAAATACCTTTTGTTCGTCCATCTTGTGAGTCGGATAACTTAAAAAACGATTTTGGTGTGTGGCTGCATCTATGTAAAAGAAAGGTTACTATCAAAAATTGCGTAGCTACATCAAAATCCAAAATGGTCACTGCCATATATTTATGCAAACCATCCGATCATTTGAAGGAACTATGTTATCTAGTTTGTATATTGCCTAAAGTTATAGTTTCCTCAAATGATCGAGGTGGCTGAAGATTAATCTATGGTGGGCACGACCACCATTGGCCACCCCTTGGCTCCACCATTGTGCCTGGTGGTAAATAACATTGCTCCCAGGACGGATCACCAGGATCCATCATGCTGCCTCAGATAAGCAAACAAACAAACAAACAAACAAAAAAAAAAACATGCCTCTTTTCTTTTCCAAAGTGTATCTCTTCCCCACTTGAACATTTTGCATCAAAAACAGGTTTAGGTTTACTTGTATTCCCTGTTCAATTCCAGTCCAGAAAAACACTCATCTTGAAAACTACAAACATTCACTACTCAAATCCCTCAGCGACGGGTGATCATCGGCGTACTGCTCGTTTTACTGAGATCTTTCCCATGGATGAGCGGTGCAGTATAGCTGCTGTAATGACAGCATGCGTGAGGTGTACATAAAGTCTGACCATTCTGTTCAGTGATGAACTCTGGAACAACAGAATTCTTGTTCCTCCAGCAACTCAAAAACAGAACAGCACGTTGCTTTCTTTAACCTCTTAATTCTGAGTCATAAGTTTGACTAAATTACTTCAGTTCCAGGAATTGCACCACTCAGCCAAAAGAAAGGCCCTCATTCAAAGCAACACTTGACTGGCTAGGACGAGAAACTCTTATAGCAGTGATCATCAAAAGGAGGACCTCGGGCTATGTATAGCCCACGAGCTCATTCCATTCAGCCAACAAAAAGTTATTTTTTAACAAAGTAGGCACAGATCAATACAGGAATCAGAACAGCTGTGACTGTTGTTGACTAATGGACAACATTTGAGAGGGAGCGTCTAAAATGTCTTGCAACAATCACAGAGGTTCTTGGGTTCCTTGTGTGAGCATCAGAGGCTTGTGGCCTGTTGTCTGAATTTTGAACATGCTCAAAATAAAACTATACAACAAATTTTCTCCTACAGTACTCCCAGAGTTGTCATGGCCATGTTTAACCTGTCTTAAACCCTTCTCAGTATAGTTTCTGTAAGTTTCTAAAGTTGTATGGTGCAGCTATTTGAGAGCACTCCTGATGACAACAAGCTGAGGGATTTGAAAATTGAATGTATGTAGCTTTTGAGATGTTGTTTTTTTTTTTTTTCTGGACTGTAACTAAACTGGGAATGCAAGTAAACCTTAATGATTTAGGTGCAAAATATAGAAATGGAGGGAGCGGTTTTATACAACACCAAGCACAATGGCGGCACCAGGGGGTGGCCAATGGTGGCTTTGACCACCATAGATTAATATTCAGTCACCCCAATCATTTGAGGAAACATATAT